GCACTTCAGATTTTTCTGGGCGGGGGGGGGGGCATTGCCAGCAGTGCCATTTGATTTATTTTTGGACATATTTTTGCTCCGGGGCTGGGGGAAAACTTGGCTTTATTGAAGAGTTTAATCAGCAAGTTGTGCACATTTAATTAATTTTTTTTTCTTTCAAATTCTGATAGTTAACTTAAATAAGAAGTGATTTTTAAAAAAAAAATGATTTAATGGTATTTTTTAACTTAAAAGAATTTCAACGGGATTTTACACATTTATAATTTTAATGGGGGGAAAATAGTTAAGATTGGTATTAATATTAAATAAATTTCATGTCTGTAAAGTGATAGAATTGTTCATTCTCAAATGTATTCATTATGTTTCGTCGGTAATTAGTGTTATCGTCAAGCTAAAAAATAGACGCTTCCGTTAACATAAAACTTTCGCAAACCAAATTTCTCCAATTAAATCATGTTCTGAAGTCGTACATTTATTCATATGTTCTTTTTGTATGTGTTAAATCAAGGAGACAATGCTAGTTGAAACAGGTACAGTACGGATCAATATATAAATATATATTTTCGCCATGATAATTAGTTGGTCCTTGAAGATTAATGATTAAGCGATTTTTTTGTTACGGCTCGAACAGGAGCAAATAAGTAAATAATAAATTATAAATAATAATAACAATAATTTATTTTAATTTCACTACACGGCCGCGGTAAAATTATGTTTGGTGTTCGATCCTCCCCGTTTGGAGCCGTTCCCCCTATTCACTCAGTAGTCTAGTAGAGTACCTACCTAATTACTCACATTTCTTTAGTAAAATAATCATGGCTGCGGCTATTCGGTATCACTGATCAGTATCAGAAGTGAGAGGTTGGGTTTACTAAAACAATATTTAAAATATTATTGTATGGTTTGTACGACAAAATTTGGTATCAAATGAAAGATAATTGGGTTATCTACCACTTGAGCGTCGGCCAAGAAAAAAATCCAGTTGTTCCGGTTGGAAGGGCTATTTAAACAACTATAAAAAAGGGATTACCCAACTATTCTTACATTGGAGTCTGTTAAAATGTTTGCTTTGGTATAGGCTATAAAGTTATATAGCACAATACTAATACATTTAAATAATTATTACTGCCAGCTACCGATATGCCAGGAAGAAAAAGAGATTACAATAATTTTTTGGCAATGTCTATACGTCTAGCGTGCCGGATTTATATCTCCCACGCTATTCTATTTGTCCGGCAACCAAGTCACATGACTGCCATAACAAAGTGGCGAGAGATATTTTGTCCATCAGTCTTGTCACGTGACCAGGAATGATTCAAAACTATTGTTAATTTTAAAATCTATTTCTCTACCAAGTAATGTACATCTTGCATGCAAATGATAGAAAAAAACTGAAGTGAAAGTGGCTTGTAAACATTTTTGTTTAGTTTGTTATTAGAGTTTGGGTACCAGTAACCCATAATATAATTAGGGGCCAGTATTCAGTAGGCAACCAATAAAAGTAAAAGATTTTAAATTATAAAGTAAACATTTTAAATTGTTTAAATTGCTAAAAATATTTTAAAACTTCTCATAAAACTACTGTTGCTGATGAACATGATAATATAAATATAATATAAAATATTTTTAATTAAAATGGGGGAAAAAAAGGTTTCCCATGCAGGGAATCGATCCACAAATATAATATCGTCCAGCGGCCACACTACCACATTACCACACAAGATCTTCTTAGTAGATGCTTCCTTCGGAATAATAAACCCTACTAGTCGTCCGGCGGTCAAGTGAAATGCTCGCCGGACGTATATCTCCCACACTATTTGTCCAGCGCGCCGGACGTGTAGACACTTCATAATTTTTTTGATCCAGATAACGCGGATGTCCACACACAGAATGTGGAAAACGTGAATGCTCAAAAAGTGTAAACTGAAAAGACATTTTGGCACAAGTCGTGATCTTTCCCCTTCATATTTACGTGGATTCATGTACCACAACCATTTTCGTGGAAATTATATTTTGTAAAACTTCATTGTCAACTTGGGGGAGAACTATGCATAATTCAATTTTCACACATTATCTTCTATTTCAAAAAAAATGTTATAGTTTTCCTATTTTAAAAAAATTGTCTATTATTATGGGAATGAATACGTACAACCAATGTCATTAAAAATAATATAAGAATAGCTGTTTAAATAACCCTTCCAACCGGAACAGCTGGATTTTTTCTTAGCCGACGCTCAAGTGGTAGAGTACCGATAATTGAATGCATCAATGCAATATATGTTTATAAACTTAATTCTTCAGTTTATCTAAAATAAACAACCACAAATGACATCCGAATAGCATTTAGGTCTAAAGGGACCCGGGTCCGAATAGCGGCGATGCGTGTCCTTTTTTTAAAACTAAATTGTCTAAATGCTATTGTTTTCATCATTTCTTTTGGACATACTATGGACTAAACTAAATCATGACCCATATTATCTTTATGGATGAAATCAGTATCAGTTTTAATTATACTGGAGTCAGTTTGTATTATTTATAAAACCATCTCCACTTTCATGTTTCAAGTCTAAGTCTTTGTGATTACCGGTGCAAATATAAATTACAGCATAAACAATAATGTTCATCAATATCATCTATTATATGGACCAAAATATCATTTAACACATACTAAATAGATTAAAGTAGTAAAAAAAAGGCAAGTTACAGCTGCAAATTTACTTAACCCCAATGGCCAATGGGTTAGTCTCTTTATTACAATATTGTGCACACAAATTTGAAAAAACAGACTTACGTTCTCTTAATTTAATTACACTCATTTAAAATTTAATGGTAATAACTAGTTAACTATAGGCTAATATTATAGCAAAATAAATATTAAACATATGTTGAAAATTAGAGGAATTTATCTTTAAAAAAATGAAAAACTTATGAAAATTTTATTGCAGATGTTAACGATTTATTATCAGTCACATCTTTTAGAACTAATATATAAGCAAAAACTCTGACTCTAAAAGTGCGGTAACTTTTCTTCTACTTAACATAAAAACTTAGATTTAGTATCATTGAATTACACATCATGAGCTCTTTCTGGTGATTTGAGTTTTATTAATAGTTAAAGTACCTAACTTAGGCTTTAGGACTTACTAACTTAGTTAAGTTCGTATGCTATTAATTAATTATGTTTATCACTAAAAGACGTAGGATATAAATTAACTCAATCATTATTATAATTAGTGTCAAGTCAAAGTGTGATTTAGGTCACAATCTTAGGGCATAAACTAGTACAACTACTCAGTGACAGTAGGTGTAGTGTAATATCCAATGTATGGGAAGGACAGTGATCTGTTTGAAGCAGTAGGAAATGAAAAACGCAGCAGGTTAGGGTTAGGAAAAATCCTGAAAAATAAGGAAAAGGCATTAGACTATCATTTGCTCTTGCTCCCGACATAGCAGAAGTGTAAGATTAGTTATTTGGTAAAACTGCGTATTAGTGCAGTTAATTCAATACAATACAAATGAAATAGGCCCATCGACCATAGCCCACAATGAAAAATTTATTTATTTATGCCTAATTATTTATAGGACTTTTATTATTCAACTTCTGTCTTTCTATGACTAGATAACGACAATTTAATGATTTGTCCTAAAACAAAATATTAAGCTCCATCCATATTTTGTCATGTACTGCAAAATTTGTGGTTTACACAAATACCTGATCTGTTATTAGTCTATCTCTACTATTTTGATATCTGAAGATGACTATGATTTCTTTTACATTTCAGATGAATGCACTAAATTTTCTGAATGTAATTTTCTGTATATACTATACTAAGGAGCCTGGCCATTTTTTGCTGTGTTTTGATTTTAGCATTGAACTAACAAAGATCATGTTGCTATTACCAAACTATTAGGATAACCAAACAAAGTAAATCATTTGAACACTGGTTTTTAATGAATTGAGATTTTTTTGGAGAGCCATACACATCAAATCACTCATCCATTATGGAAAAGGATCATCAAAGTGAAGCAGACACCAGTGAAGTAGAGAGAACACTTCCAGAATGTTTTGATTTGGTGTTCAATTTACATCAGTATTTGGAAAGAACAGATGAATCTATGGCCTCTGATAAAATTCAGGTAATTTTATAATCATATAAAATTCATTAACTGCCCAGACAACCTGTTTAAAATAGCGTACTCTAATACTTTATTTCAGTAACAATATTAGTTAATTTATCAAGTGATAGGTATTTTTAAAAAATTCTGTCTCATTGATGCAAAGAGTTAAAAAGAACAATTTTTACATGATTCAACTTAAGAATGATATTTACTGAGCCACAAATAGTTTTCTGTCTCCATCATTTTAACAAATTTTCCAAAATAAGAAGTTAAGTGGCTAGTCAAAATAGAATGTAAAAATTAAATATGGTACTCCAGTATTAAAATTGTTTCCCATAACTTTATTCAGGAATATTTTTAAAACAAGGAATCATTTCTTTTTTCTTTTCTTTAACAGGTTAAACTCAGAGAAGGAGTTCTTACTGCAGAAAAAGCTATTGCAATGGTTAATAGTTTACAATTATTTAGTAGGAATGAAGATGTAGATGAAGTTTCAACAAATGAAATAAAGTAAGTATTCAAACAAAATGTTGTTCTTTTCACTATTGCATTAGGTACCATGAGTTACTACAGCAGATGATAGCTACTATTCTAATCCAGAAGTTTAAAAGCTAGTTACTAAAATTCTTCAACACATCTTACGATGAAAAATATTGTAATATGGAGAGGACTGCATTCAGGTTCAAGCAATAAGAAATAAAGCATGCACGTTGGGGGAAAACCAGTTTAATAATTAACATACCAGTTGTAAGTCATTGATTGAAATAAAAAAAATTAAAAAATTGTTCATGTTCCTATACTACCAAGAACTGTATGTTTATCTACAATACTATGAAACCTTATTTACCTTTCAGCTAATATACTAATACTCCAACACTTGGAAAATTCATGACAGCCATAAAATAATGATTTTTGTTTAAGTGACTTTTTTTCTTTTCAGAGAATATAACAGGTTTCAAAAATCATAAAAATATCATCATAAGTAATGGTTAAAAAATAAAATTCAAAGTGAAATTAATGCATAAAATATTCTTTCTACTTCTCACTAAAACAGGTACATGATGCTGTCAGCCTTTCTGGGATATTTTACTGGTTTAAACACACACCTCTCCAGAAAAGAAGCAGTCAAACGATCCAAAGTAAACATACCAAGTGATTTCATTTTACAATAAACTTTTTTATATATAATATATATATATATAAAATATATATAAATGTATATATATATATATAATATATATTTATATATATATAAATAAATGTATATATATATAATATATATATGTAAAAATCCATTTATCACCCATGTATTTAAGCTGAACATTGTAATGTGCTGGAGAAGAACCTTAGGCAGAGTAGTTTTGTTGTTGATAAATAGTTCTTTGTGGGTAATGTAGTCAATATGTTTTCCTAATTTTATGAAAATAGTTAACCATTCTTTACCAAGACTTTGTTTTACATTCCCAGTTCTGTTACACAGATTTTCTCAAGCTACTGAAATTATACAATGTGATAGACTATGATGTCACCCAGACTGTGGAAGATGAAGAGGATGCTGAAACATCAGTCCCTTCTTCATACAGGCAGGTTTTTCTATTCCTTTCAAAGCATTTTAGATAGCAGTATTTGGGGCTATTAAGGGGGGTAATCCATAAATGAGGATACACACAGGGGTGGTTGTAGTGGGTCACGAATTAGTGAATATATTATGTGGATGTCAAAATTGTGTGACAAATTTGTGACCATGGGTGTGGAGGGGGCTCTGAAATCTGCCAGAACAGTGTGAAGTCATTTATTGATGGCCCTTAATATCAAATGGAATACAAAGAGTGCTCCTAGTCAAACCAAGGTCCTCATTCATGTTAAGGGATATCTCATTCCTGCCTTCTTTATATTGTAAATAAATTTGAAATTTTTTATCTTGGAAACGGGAATCACTTTGATCAGATGTTTATTTTGCTGTATGTCAAAATGGAGCTCAGCCTCTTTTAAAATTTACTTACCGTACATACTCACATACTTGTCTGTAAGTTGAGGGCAGGTTTTTTTTAGCAATAATTATGAAGTATGCTGTGACTCATGGATAAGTTGGGGGTAAAACTCGGGGCTATGAAATTCTGTGATTTTTTAAAAATAATTTTGAAAGATTTTACCTAGCAGAAATCACTGCACTGCATACTAAACTATGGCCTGTGTATGATTGACTCCAGATGTATCACACCAGAATCTTGTATCTACATTCCACAAGTTAACACTTTGCAGACTACATATTAACAACATGTCTGCTAAATACCATATATCAATCAATATGATTTTCTTTATTTATTATGTCAGCTGAAAACCAGAAAAAAAAATGAGCAATCATGAAACTGAACATTTTTAGTTCCCAGTTTCTGGGTCAATGTACAGCTACTGGTAAATACACTAGCACTATCGGAAAATCAACAGTGCCTTACATTCAATGTATAAAATTGACCCATGGATAAGTTGACTGTTTTAAAATGAAAATTATGCCTAAAGTTTCTTGACTGATACAGGAGTATATACGGTACTGCCTAGTGTACTTTTGTCTATCCTTTGGTAATTTAATAATTGTTGAAACCCCATTTAGCCGAACTCGCCAAGATGTGAATGCCATGTCAGCTCACAGGAACAACAAAATTCAGAGATTCAAGGAGAAGAAGATGATGGAGAAAAGGCTTGGGGAGCTCAAAGTTCTTGTTGAGAAGGAACACGTGGACGATGAAATCAAAGTAGGGAAGATAATGTTGTTCACTCATTATTTTGATCTAAATGGTTGTGGTGTTAACAAAAATATCCTTCATTTGACTTCAGTACCACTTTCTGTAGTAAACGTCATAAAACATGGTTTCTGTAAAGGTTGAGAATCTTGTGGTGGGCTCATCTTACCTGTTCAAATATATCACGTTAGGGTTCTTTATTTTAACCAAAAACAGCTTGAGATATTTGAACTTTTCAACAGAGAGAGTTCTATTTGACCCAGTTGAAGCACTGGGCAAACATTGCTATAGATGAAATAGATAACTGTAACCTTGAACTTCAAATGCTTCAACACAAGAAGGAGATGACAAAAGGGGGAATAACTCTTCAGAGTTCTGCTGCCACCACTTCAAAAAAGGTGAGTAACTGTTTTTATTGATATTTATTTGAAGACACATCTAAAACAAATCAGCTGTGTTTAGTTAGCATTGGATGAACACCAGTTAAGAAAGGTTTGTGGTATAAATAAATGTATTAATTTATAGCCACACCTTATGCAAGGAACAATTTCTTTTACAGTCTTTCTTTCAATTTTTGATACTGTCGAGATGCGATTCTTCTTGTATGGCCAAGTCTTTCACTTCATTCCGTTCGGCAGTACATCATATAGCAACAGTCCCCAATGCAACAAACATCAACCGGTTTGCTGTAAACAAAAGTTTATTTAACCACAATTCCCAAACTAAAGTTGATACTTCATTTCTGAGCAACAATCAAATCTTTTCAGCACAACTCTTAATTTATTTAACCGCAATTCCCAAACTATGGTTGATGTAGCACATCCGCCATCTATCTTCTCTAACAACAACGAAAACTAACGCGTCACTTCCCACTACACAATTACGCCACAACACTCTCACACAAACGATACAGCTACACATAAAATCTTTAACTAAACATCTTTTCCCTATCAAACCTTGAAACAATAATCTACACATAACAACAGTGATTCTCATAACCTTGACAGATACGTTTTTATTTGTTTGCAGCATTTACCAGTAGCGTGAGAAAGTGCACATTAATTTGTGGTTCATATGTTTCTGCCTTTTATTCTCACTTGTACAAATTAATTTTTCAGCCTTTCAGACCTTTCATCCTCACCAAAAATGAGCTTCAAAAGCAAGTTTATGGAGCAGGTTACCCAGCCTTACCAACCATGACTGTGGATGAATTTTATGAAGAGAAATTGAAAGAAGGAACACTTTCAGAATCCGTTAGCAAAGGGTACAGATACCTGATGACTGTTTAAAAAAAATATATATATTTAAGAATGAGCTATACTGACCATAATGCCAAAGAACCAAAAAGATTTAAATATGTTCAGATTCTTAAAAACAATCATAGTTATTTTCTATTATTTACAGAAATCAAATAAATTTCAATTTGAAAAAAATATTATATATCCGCTTTTATTTTAGTAAAAGTTTAAGTATTATTATTATTAGAGACCGACCGAAAGTGATTTTCTGATTTCGGCCGAAGCCGAAAATGGGCCGAAAGTTTAAAACGACTTTCGGCTGAAACCGAAAAAATACCGAAAGTTTAAAAATGACTTTCGGCCGAAACGAAAATGAAATATTTAGATATTTTGAAATTCGTTCCCGCATACATTCTGCATACATAAAAAATGATGGGAGAAAGTGTAAACATTTACATTTTTTATAAAAAATGAGATAATTGTGAATATTAATAAATAAACATCTAATATTACATCTTGTTGTTAAAGATCGCTTAGTTTATTGTTAAAGATCGTTCAGTTTTTTGTTATTGATCGCTTTATTTGTTTTTTAAGATCGCTTAGTTTGTTCTTAAAGATCGCATAGTTTTTGTTGAAAGATCTTTTAGTTTGTTATTAAAGATCATTTAGTTTGTTAAAAAAGATTGCACATTTTTTCTTAAAGATCGCTAAGTTTGTGTTATTAAAAGATCATTTAGTTTGTTATGGCTAAGTTTGTTCTTAAAGATCATTGATTTTGCTCTTAAATATCGCTTAGTTGTTCTTAAAGATCATTTAGTTTGTTTGTATAGATCTTTTAGTTTGTTATTAAAAATCGTTTAGTTTGTTCTTAAAGATCGCTTACTTTGTTGTTGAAGATCCCTTAGTTTTTTCATAAAGATCGCTGAGTTTGTTCTGATAGATATTTGATTTTTTTCCTTAAAATCTTTTAGTTTGTTCCTAAAGAACATTTAGTTTTCTGTTAAAGATCGCTTAGTTTATTCTTATAAATCATTTAGTTTATTCTTATAAATCATTTAGTTTACTATTAAAGATCATTTGTTTTGTTCTTAAAGATCACTTAGTTCTTTCTTAAAAATCGTTCAGTTTTTTGTTAATGATCGCTTTATTTGTTCTTAAAGATCGGTTAGTTTTTTATTAAAGATCGCTTTATTTGTTTTTAAAGATCACTTTATTTGTTTTTAAAGATGGTTTAGTTTGTTCTTAAATGTCACTTAGTTTGTTGTTAAATATCGCTTTTGCTGAGAATTAGATGACCGAAAATCTCAGTCACTTTCGGCCAGATGGCCGAAATGCTAAGTCAATTTCGTCCAAAACCCCAAAAAAACGAAAGTTAACTTTTGTCTTTTGGTTGAAACCTAAATTAAGCCGAAAGTTAACTTTCAGTTTCGGCCGAAACTGAAACTTGGCCAAAAGTGATAAAATGGCCACTTTCGGCACCGAAACCGAAGCCGAAATTCGGTCGGTCTCAAATTATTATAAATAACAAATACATTTGAAGTAACAACTAAGGAACTATCTTAAGCATTTTATATGCGTTTGAAAGTTATAAAAGAAAAGTAAATAAAAAATTATGATCAAAGAAATACACCGAAATCACTTTTATCGGGAAAACCAAAACATCAGTTGCTTTTAGTGCATTTTTAGTGCGTTGTTAATATTGCGAAATGAAAATATAATTAATTTGTTCTAAATAAAAACGCAAATGACATCATAGCTAATCGCATATTTTAGTTTATTGATTTAATAACCGCGCCTTACAAAACTGATAATGGTATTTTCCCCTTCTTAGAAGAAAAAGTAATAAATTTAATTGATTGCTTTTTAAATTGTTAATAAAACACGCACAAATTTTAGCTTTATTTTTCTAACATTTAATAAGTTTTTACTTTTTTAAATTCCAAAAATAAACTTTTAAAAAATGTATAACGTAATAAAAACTTAACCTTTAAATATACTTATAAATAAGAAAATACGTTTAAGTCAAACATTGCAGCGAAACTCCATAGCCAAATAGCATTCACTAATCCACTTATAACTCATTCAAATAAGAAAAAGACATATTTAGTGCAAAACATATTAGTTTTGATATGGAAGGGACTACAATCCGGTGGAAGATTTTATTAATTTTATTTAATTCTGGTTGGGTGCCACAGACAGCACAAGATACGACTCAAAAGAAAGGAATGCATTTTTAAAATAATTAACCTTTTTGGGTACGTACATTTCGAAGGTAGGAAATGGGATGTGTACATTTTTACGTGGATGACACTATAAAAAGAAATGTTATATTATCTTTTTACAAATAAACATATGTTTACAAATTAAGAAAATCAATGGCGTTAACAAAACGTGGGTACATTAATATACATGTACCCATGAATATGAAAACCCAATCATTTTACACACGGAAAACTATTTTTGAAGAATGGAGATGGGTTAATATTTTCTTTAAAAAAAAATGAATATATATTTTTGTTTTTAATTTGCGACAAGGCGACAAGTAAAGCGGGTGCATATTTTTATGAGATTAACAATTTAAAAAAAAATCTCAATTCTGTTATAAACGTGAAATAAAATAATTCTTTTTTTTTAACGATTTTCTGATAATGTATAATTAAAAAAACAAGGCAAAATTTTGTTCAAATTTTTTAACAAGATATCAATACAACAAATTCTTTTAATATAAAATATATTTATATCATATATAGATTTTTTGTTATAAATTTAAGATTATCTTTTCACAATTTTTAGAGAAAAAAAATGTTGTAGTTCATGGGCATGAAAAGGGGGAAATCTAAAGTATTTCTCTAGCATAGAAATAGTCCCTCAGTTAACTTCTTTAGTGACAAAAGAGATATAATTAGTGATGATTTAGATTGGGTAATTTAAGGTCATGTTTAGAGGGAAAAAAAAAGTAGTTTAGGAGCATTACAGGAAGTAGGGTAGTTGTATAATATATAGCAGATAAATACTTCTCGAAACTTAATGATAGAAACGTAAATATCATTACATAGATAATTATTTTTTAAAATTAGTAATTGTGATGAGCTTTTGCAACAGCAGGTAGAAATTATTGCAAAAGACCTACCATTAAAATCCCGATATCATCGGGTCATTTGTTCTAGTATTATAATAGATCATTTACTCTGTTTATGGTTATTGTACATTGACATACCAGAAGTCTAACAATTATTATTTGTATGATGTTTTATGTAACCTTCAGCAGATTGTCATCTGAAGTTGAAGAATATCTTCATTGAATAATCTAAATCTCTCATGTTGTCATATAATATGAAAGAAAAACCAGTCTAAAGCTCTCTTATGATTTTGCAAACATTTGTACTTTTACTTCTGATTATTTTCCTGCAGTCACAGTATGCAGGATTGGGCAATGAATCCAGAAAAGGACGCAATAGAAAGAGAAAAGGAAGATGCAGAGAAAGAGGATAAACTTGAAAGGGAAGACCCCGAGTTATTGGCACGTGCACGAGCCATGGATGAATGGAAGGATGGTAAGTTTGAGTAGAATTGTTTGAAGAATTCTCAAGTGGTTTGAGGTAGTCTAATGGTCTCAGTATTTATAGATCTAGAGTCCTGGCATTGTCATTTGATCTGATTTCATAGATCTAGGGTGCTTACATTGGCTGATGATCTGATTTTATAGATCTAGAGTCCTGGCATTGTCATTTGATCTGATTTCATAGGGTGCTTGCATTGTCTGATGATCTGTTTTTATAGATCTATGGTGCTGGCATTGTCTGATGATCTGTTTTTATAGATCTAGGGTCCTAGCATTGGCTGATGATCTGTTTTTATAGATCTAGGGTCCTAGCATTGGCTGATGATCTGTTTTTATAGATCTAGAGTCCTGTCATTGGTTGATGATCTGTTTTTATAGATCTAGGGTGATGGCATTGTCTAATAATGTTTTTATAGATCTAGGGTCCTGGCATTGTCTAATAATGTTTTTATAGATCTAGGGTCCTGGCATTGGCTGATGATCTGTATTGTTAGATCTAGGGTCCTGGCATTGTCTAATGATCTGTATTTATAGATCTGTGGTGCTGGCATTGGCTGATGATCTGTATTTTTAGATCTAGGGTCCTGGCATTGTCTAATAATGTTTTTATAGATCTAGGGTCCTGGCATTGTCTAATAATGTTTTTATAGATCTAGGGTCCTGGCATTGTCTATAAAATAATGTTTTTATAGATCTAGGGTGATGACATTGTCTAATAATGTTTTTATAGATCTAGGGTCCTGGCATTGTCTAATAATGTTTTTATAGATCTAGGGTCCTGGCATTGTCTAATAAATTTTTTATAGATCTAGGGTCCTGGCATTGTCTAATAATGTTTTTATAGATCTAGGGTCCTGACATTGTCTAATAATGTTTTTATAGATCTAGGGTCCTGGCATTGGCTGATGATCTGTATTGTTAGATCTAGGGTCCTGGCATTGTCTAATGATCTGTATTTATAGATCTGTGGTGCTGGCATTGGCTGATGATCTGTATTTTTAGATCTAGGGTCCTGGCATTGTCTAATAATGTTTTTATAGATCTAGGGTCCTGGCATTGTCTAATAATGTATTTACAGATCTAGGGTGCTGGTATAGTCTAATAAAATAAAAATGAGAGAGGGGTGTAGCTATGCGCGGGAAGAGATTTGGATGCATCTGCTGAAACTCCCGAACGGCGAAAGTATGCAAACAGCAACCTAATGAAGTTAACAGATCTTTGGTAAAGAGTATAAAATTAGAATTTACTGTTTAGCATGGAAAGGGAAAAATTCATCCCATGTTCACTTCTGAAATCTCAGAAACACCAATGTTCACTTTAAAGATCTCAGGAACAGTCCACTTTTGAGAAGGAACATCGTTTTTTTTATTAAACACTAATATTTAACACCGCATAAACCGACTAATCAAGAAAGCTAGGAACATAATACAAACTAAACATCCTTCACTTGAAGAACTAGTTGAAGGAAGATGTTTTTGTAAAACTAAACACATTTTGGATGATACATCCCACCCTCTTCACCACAAATACTTAGGATCGGGCCGTTCGGGACGAATTCTTTCCATCAGGGCGAGGACTGAAAGATATAAAAATTCTTTTGTTCCCCAATCTGTACGAATTTACCGGCATGCTCCCTCTGAAGTCGCACATTTTAATGAGAACTAATAAGTCCCCGATTTGGCTAAGAGAACTGACTGATTAGCTGTTAGAAATAATTTATTATAAATGTCTTGTGTTCAAATTGTTTTATTTATGTGCTGAAAATTTATAATGCAATCAAAAAACATTTCCATTTATTTGGATCAATAAAAGAATCTTATCTTATCTTATCTTATCTTATCTTATCTTATCTTGTTTGAAGAACTAAAGTTTGGTGCACAGTTTAGTCAAAGGCAAATTTAATTTTTTTAAATTAGTTTTTTTTTTTTTTTTTGCATTATTAGTTATGTTATTATGGGTGTGGAAACTTTGAATTGAGTATCTATTAAATCTTCTCCAAATATATTTTAGTTAACTGGTATCCACAATGGATAAACCTTTCTGGATTTTGTAGTCAGTATAACCCCAGATCAGTTGACAAAATGTTGGTCATCCATAGAATTATTCTGAGTTGATCTGACTTGTTTTTTTTTTTTTATTCCACAGATCACAGGAGAGGTGATGGTAACAGACACAACAAAGGATAATCTTGAAATTAATGTTGCATTTAGTTTTGTAAATTTGTTGTCTTTAATGTAAATCTTAGGAGGTAAATGGGTGTCGAATGATTGCATTAGTTGTTCTCTTTCATTGTTGTTGCGTTACATTTTATTTATACCATTTAAAATCTAAATTTCTTTGGTGATTGTTTGCAAATGAGATTTTTATTCAGAAATAAGACACAATAGGTTTTTTCAACTGAGAATAAATAATAAGATAAAATAAGCAGGAATGAACTGAATAAATCTTTACCTTTTCTTGTTTTAAATTATTATTAATGGTTATCATATATTCACCATTTTGAATGAAACATATGATTAAATAAATGAAAATAAACTTAAAACTACCACATTTTAAACCATAATTACTGTGCTATATGAGATATGAAATATTTAATGAACAAATGAGAATTTTATTTCCAATGATGGCAATCATGAAAAGAGAAATAAAAATTATTTTAATATGATTTGAAGGTGTTTGAATAGTTACTGTTTGTTGCCATTATTTCAGATCAATTCACAATAAAAAATATATGTCAATATTATGCACATAACTTATACATTCTTTGAACTATTTCTCTCTGGCTTTACACTGCTTCCATGCTCATAAGATAATTAGATATATTTATTTATATTTGTTCTCTGTTTCAAATTATTGAGGAAGGCTTTTAGCTGTTGTGGTTTGTAGTCCATCAGATCTCCGCCCATGCTATTATTACCTATTGCTAAACCTGATGGCATTCACCATCTTATTCTTTTATGTACCTGAACATTATAGTTTATTTGCTAAATGAGACTTGTTTTTCTCCCATGAGTCCGGGTTAATGATGAATGCTTTCAGCAAGGATTTTAGAGTGTCTTTTAAAGCTTTTCTCTTCACTCCAACATGCCACTTGCTGTGTTGAGACTCACGATAAAATATTCCCTTTGGCAGTTTGAGACCTAGCATGCGCACACATCTCACCCAGCTATTCATTTAGATGGCGAAGGTACTGGGGTGACCATCCCTGAGGACTGCATCAGTGTCTGGGACTTTGTCCTGCCATTAGGTGATGAGGATTTTTCTGAGCCAATGGATGGTGGCGTGGTGAACACAGCCATCCTATAATGGACACCTCCGTCCAGTAGAGTTTTAGTTCATTGTCATTGCTGAGGCATCTCTGGACTAGTCCCCACATTATTGAAGAGTCTTCCAACGGTTGGATGACTTTTGCAATGTGTAGATTAGCCTCTTCATAAGTGGTGACACTTTGTGACAATGTTGTGCCAAAGTAACTAAACACTATTGACATGTTGAACCTGTGGCCAATGATTGTGATGTTGGTCTATACATAAAGCTTTCCAGGGAAAAACTCCACATATAACTGTCAGGAAATTGTGATAACACGTCAGCATTTAATGACATCTCAAGTAAACATGTCAGCATTGAATGACATGTCAAGTAAACATGTTAGCATTGATGACATGTCAGTACACATGTCAGCATTGAATGACATGCCAAGGTCTAGTTCTGGTTATGTTTCGTTGCTGCATCCATTTACTGGCATCTTTGCAATGGTTGGGGGTATGATGTTGCTATTCTAACAGCTCCTAGCTGATGCCAGGGCAGCCTTGAATCTTTCGACTGATGTCGAGTTCACAGTGGCATTGTTCAGGTTGTTCCATGCTATTATTGTGCTGGGAAGAAAGATTGTTGATACTGCACTGTGTTGCACTGAGGCACTTTGAAGCCTTTGCTATTGTTTCTGGTGTAATTGTTTATGTGTAAATGTGTCAGCATTGAATGACATGTCAAGTACACATGTCAGCATTGAATGACATGTCAAACATGTCAGCATTGAATGACATGTCAATAATCATGTCAGCATTGAATGGCATGTCAAGTAAACATGTTAGCATTGAATGCCATTTCAAATACACATGTCAACATTGAATGACATGTCAAGTAAACTTCACATGCAGATAAATATCCCATTTAGTAGAAACAAGAATAAAGATAAGACAGTTGTAAACAATAATATACAAGATAAGATAGTAAAAAAAAAAACAAGTTAAGATTAAAAAAGTAACCAAGAACAAACAAAATAAGATTAGTACATAAGAATAAACAAGATAAGATCAAATGATTGGGGAAACATTCAGTACAGGAACCCATTGAATTAAAACAAACAATTCTTAATTTTGAATAACATTTGAAACTTTTTTAATTTGTTACATGCATCAACAAAAAAAAGTCTGTCATTGAAAATCTTAAAAATTGAAACCTTGATGGTTACATACAAAATGTTTATAAACAACTTGATTATAATTGATGTGATTTCTTATCAAATGAACTTAATAATTTTTTTTATTAAAGTTTTTAATTTTTTTTTAATATTTGTAATATAAAAAAAAGACATTTCAAGTGCATAATAAATTGTCTAATCTGAATGATATGTACAATACATACTGTTGTTGTGTCCAATATTTAGTTTTGAGGTCTATTTATAGATTTTGAACACAATTTTACAACTAGCTAAAGGTGTTACAGCTACAACAACGAGCTAGAGGTGTTACAGCTACAACAACTAGCTAGCGGTGTTACAGCTACAACAACTAGCTAGAGGTGTTACAGCTACAACAACTAGCTAGAGGTGTTACAAGCTGCAACAACTAGCTAGAGGTGTTACAGCTACAACAACTAGCTAGAGGTGTTACAGCTACAACAACTAGCTAGAGGTGTTACAGCTACAACAACTAGCTAGAGGTGTTACAGCTACAACATCTAGCTAGAGGTGTTACAGCTACAACAACTAGCTAGAGGTGTTACAGCTACAACAACTGGCTAGAGGTATTACAGCTACAACAACTAGCTAGAGATGTTACAGCTACAACAACTAGCTAGAGGTGTTACAGCTACAACTAGCTAGAAGGCCAATTATTTTGTTACATTCTGAGGCCAATTTTTGTTTCCCTCAAACCATTCATCAGATATTTTTAAAAAATATATCGGGTATACAAATGTCCCAATCAGACAAGTCATCTGTTGAATCAGACAAGTCAACTGTCCCAATCAGATTTGTCAGCTGTCCCAATCAGACAAATCAGCTGTCCCAATCAGACAAGTCAGCTGTCCCAATCAGATTTGTCAACTGTCCCAATCAGACAAGTCATCTGTTAAATCAGACAAGTCAACTGTCCCAATCAGAGTTGTCAGCTGTCCCAATCAGACAAGTCAGCTGTCCCAATCAGACAAGTCAGCTGTCCCAATCAGACAAGTCAGCTGTCCCAATCAGACAAGTCAACTGTCCCAATCAGACAAGTCAACTGTCCCAATCAGACAAGTCAACTGTCCCAATCAGATTTGTCAGCTGTCCCAATTATACAAGCAGATCTAATATCTTATTAGACATGTCAACAGTCCCAAACTGATGTCAACTGTACCAATAGGATATGTCAACTGTCCCAATCATACAAGCAGACTTAAAATCTTATTACACAAGCCAACTGCCCCAATGACACAAGTAGCTTTGACCATACTTCCAGATTTCAAACTAATCGGTTTACAATCTACTATTTTAACGTTATTTTATAGCCCAACACAAACTCAACTACTAAACAGTTCAAGTAGGCAAGTATAAGTTTTGTCGTGCAAGCAGGGCTAAGTTCGTATCACTCTTTTAAGCACGATTTTAGCAATTTACTCCCTTAACATATTTTATCAAGTCTGACCAATGTGATGGCTAGTTACTCAGATTGATTACAATGTGTCTACTGACCAATGTGATGGCTAATTACTCCAGAGGCGTAGCGTGGTGGGGGCGGGGGAGGACAGATGTCCCCGGGCGCCAGCTAGTTAGGGGCGCCAAAATGTGCTTAGATATTATTTTATTGATGAAAATAATGGGTTTGAGAGTTGAAAAAAAGAAAAAGAGCTCTTTAAAATGGAACTTGTCCCCGGGCGCGAATCTTGTCCCCGGGCGCCAAACACCCTCGCTACGCCACTGAATTACTCAGATTGTTAACAATGAACCTACTGACCAATGTGATGGCTAGTTGCTCAGCTTTTTGACAATGTACCTACTGACCAATGTGATGGCTAGTTGCTCAGCTTTTTGACAATGTACCTACTAACCAATGTGATGGGATATTCTTGCAGCAATGCAATGTCCAAATCAGGTGACGGCAGCTCGGCCTCCATCCTGTCCACCAAAACAACACACACAACGGCAGCTGTAGGAACAAGTCAAAACACATTACTGAATGCGCATGACATTACTGAATGCGCATGACGTTACTGAATGCGCATGACCTTACTGAATGCGCATGGCTTCGTTTCGTCATTGTTCAATCATAACTGTATCACTCCGTCCGTTGTATGTCCGACACTAACAATAGATCTTCACGGCGCTCGAACTCTTCAACAGTTTGCTATCGTTACCTGGTCAAGAGGGGCGTAACTAATGTTGGGCTGGCAAGCTGATTATGCGCACTGGGATGTAAGGTTAACCAAGACAACGAGTCTTAGCAAGAGTGCTACAGGGGAATAGTTATCTTTTTGAGAAGCGTATTGGGATCTTCATAGTATTACACAAGGTAGATAACTATTATTCATTGTATTATAAAGTGGTTGCATAGTACTGGCCTTTAATTCCAACTTTCCTCGCCATGCCCAAGACTCCTGCAGATTCCATCTCGAGGTTGACCACGCCCATTTGACGTAATTTACTCAGAAACGCCGCCCTTTCTTCCTGTGTGTAATCACAAAAGGAACCGTCAAATCGACCTTGACCTGAACCAAGAAAATATCCATGTACGCTTTCAAACTCTTCATCTTACCTGTTCAAAATACAATTATTTAGACAGAAATCTGTCTCAGCTGTCAGACATACAACAAAAACACATGGTAGAGCGATGCGTTAGTTGTCACAAATAAATGAAATCCTTTCAATTTAAACAAATGTCACATATTTTGTCTCTCAACCACTATTTTTTAGAAGATATTTTAGTTTCACAAGCACGTGCACGTGCTACAAACACATGGGGATACTCAATCCCTCCCCCACTCTTCTACATCTATACCTTCTCCCCCCCTCCCCCAAACCAATGTTTCCACAGATTTCTCATTCACCCGCTCTTTCGTTTTATAAAGACATTTTGCAGCGATTAAAAAAAAAACAAAAAATGTTTCAGCTGGTGATCTGTTAACACTTTAGAAAATATTATGTGAATTTAGACTTGTCTGTGTTTATACACACTTTAACACACATTATGTTAATTGAAACTAATCTATGTCGTATGCATGCGCTTGCCCCCCCCCCCC